TGAAAGGAATAGGAGGAAGAGCCTAGGAATTAAAAACAAATAACACAAGTATATCAAGCACCCAACCCATGGGACCTGACTCTAGTTCAAGAAAGGAAAGGCTGTTTCATGCTAGTGGAGGACCTGGTGGGTAGGTAGACACCCCAAGTGGCAGGCCTGGCCCCACAACACTGACTGTGGCCCACCTGGTAGGTAGACACCTCTGAGCTGGTAGATAGGTAGGCAGGCAGTGAATAGAGGTGGCTGGAGAAATGTGTCCTGCTCTGGCACAGAAGTTGCCAGTGACCAGCCTTGGTGGCAGTCCTTCCTTGGGTCCTGGGCCCTCCCATCCTTCCTTCTGCACATGTCAGCACTATGACAGTGATTTGCCAACCCCAGGTGTGCACTGAGTGACAGCCACATCAGAGGTTCTCATGTTTGGCTATGGGGCACAAGGAAGCAAGTGTGGAAGGGGAGGTTTCAGGTGCAGCTAATGGTGTGTGCAGAGGAAGCAGCCGAGCTGGACCAAGTGGACACCTTGGACTGGGGAGTGTTGCCCACTGGGGTTCTTGCATCTGAATCAAGATGGCGGGCACAGGGTGACTGGGTTATGGAGAGCTGAGGAGGCCCAGCGAGCTCTCTGCCTCAGGGACTAAATTGTCCCTCTGAGCTTGCTGTGCCTGCCCAGCCTCCCTGCCAAAGGGTTCTCTGCTCCTGGTAGGCTGTGTGGCTTTCCTGCCCCCACCCATGACCGCAGCCAAGTGGAGGGGACCCAGCCCTAGTGGAGCAGGGCTGTCACACCCAGATTCTTCCATCTCTTTCCATTTTCATATGCATCCACCCTTGTCTTTTTCTTACTTTCCAATCAGTGTTAAGACGTGTATTAAGTGTACCCCCCAAGCACACACAGTACTGAGACACCCACCCCTCAGCTCTGCCAGATCGTGTCATTCTGTGACTTAGTTCTAAGCAGTGACACCTTACAAGTTGCTGAACATCCCCACCTTGAACATCTGCATCTGTATCTCCTGTGTACACACAGCCAATGTTGTGGATTAGGGTTGTAATCCCCATACAGTGTGTGTGTGTGTGTGTGTGTGTTCAGACTTTATGTCCGTGTGTGCTTAGAAACAAAATTTAGTGCAATAGCTACATCTCTGCCCTTTCTGTGATTTTTTATTTTAAGATAGAGCCTTGCTAAATCATCCAGGCTGGACTCTTAACTTGGGATCCTCCTGCCTCAGCCTCCCAGAGTTCTGGGAGGACAAGAAGCATAATGGCTTTGTTTTGTTTTTGAGATGGTCTCTCTCTATGTTGTACCCAAGCTGTTCTCAAATTCATGAGCTCAAGTGGTCTTTCTACCAAAGCCTCCCAAACAGCTGGGACTTTAGGTATGCACCACCCTTCCCAGCTTGTTTTAGCTTTTAAAAGGCTCTTTGAACTTTTATACCTATGTATGTGTCATTATAGGTAGCTCTAGTTTGTTAATTTTACTTCCAATGTAGCAGTCCATATCTCAAGTTACCTATTTGGTGAACATTTAGGAGCTTGGAATTTGGTGTTCTTCTGTGCTTGGAGTGTGTGACACTCTTGCAAGGGTCCCTTTCACCCATGTGCAAGGGTTTCTCTGGAGAGCATACCTGGGTGACTGTACCTGTGACCCTAACAGATACTACTAAATAGCTTTCCAGAATGGGTTGGTGACTGCTTTCCCTGCAGTAGCATGGGGGGCACCCTTCGTGCCCACATGCTGGAATGCCAGGCACTGTCAAGCTTGTTTTGATTGTTGCTGCTTTGATGTGTGTGAGATGGGACCTCTAGATCCTTCTCCCAAGGGACCAGTGCTCCCAGGAATCCTGGCTGCTGTCTTCACCACAGACACACACAGGAAGGGCAGGAGTCAGGCAACAAAAAGGGCCTGGCTGGAAACCTCTGCCCTCTGAGAGCTGGAGTGCTTAGAGCTATTTCCGGGGTCCCCTCTCCCTAGAGGGCCTCCTGAGACAATTGCTCCAAGCCCCCAGCTTTGGAACACTGGCCATGTTATAAGCCACTGACTTCCAGCTATGGAAGTAGCTCCACCTTGAACATCAAAAGCTACTGAGCAGGGATGGGAAGATAGCTCAGCAGTCTAAGCGCCTGCCTGGCAAGTGTAAGGATCCAAGTTCAATCCCTGATACCACGTGCTGTGCCACCCCTGGAGCCCCAGGCACACCGAGCTAGCCACCACAGGTATGTTGGCACACGCCTGTAATTCCAGCATTGGGGAGGCTAAGACAGGAGGATCACTATGATTCTGAGCTGCATAGCAAGACCTTGTATCAATAAGTTTTTTTTTTTTAAAGCTACTGAGCAGATTTATTCAAGAGCTAGTTAACACTGAGTTAAAATATAATCTGCCAGCTAATATGCACCAATGAAAATATTTTGTAAAATCTTGACTTACCCAAACTCTTCCTCTGTTTCCCCCCGAAGCCTAATCTTTCTGCTCACATTTATTTATCTTCAGCTAGAAAACTGCATCTCAAAGCTTTTATTGTCAGAAACTTTCAACATGCATAGTTATCAAGGCCCCAGAAGAGCAGCACTTGATGCTCCCTGGGAATATTTGCCACACTAGAAATCAAAATGAAGATGTGTTTAAATGTTTATTTGAAAATAAACATAGAAGTCAACCCCTTCTATGTTGACATAAATTGCTTTTACATAAAAAAAGAAAACTGCATGTTCAAAGAACAGTGAGTGGTGTGGCATTCTGAGATGGAGCTCAGCAGTGGAGCCCTTGCCTGCAACAGAGAAAGAGAGCTGCTGCTGGAGACAAAAGTGGTGGGCTGAGAGTTTAGACACAGCCCCTGTGCAAGCACATGGGAGGGGGACCTGGCATGCTCAGGCTCTTGCAGGAGGAGGTCCTTTCCCCCTAGGTCCCCCTGGCCCTCCACCCAGACACCCGCTGCCAGACCTCTTGGTTCTTTTCCTTCCTACCCCCAAACCATCTTTTATTTTTGATTTATTTTTTTTCCTATTTTTTTACTTTTTAGGGAAGTGTCTACAGGTTGTTCAGGGTCTCACTACTAGACTGGACTCGTAGTGATCCTCCTGTTTACAGCCTCCCAAGTGCTGGGATTATAGGCTCAATTGCCATCTCAGCGTGCCCCGGAGGCAGGGCTGGCACAACAGGCCTGGAGATCAAATCCCTGGCTCCTGCTTGCAGGAGCTTTAGTCTGCTGAGCTATTTGGCAGGCCCTTGATTTACTATTTTTAAGTTCTTATTTTATTTTATTCAGTCATCCATTTATCCTGAGAGAGGCTCTCATAATGTGGCCCAGGCAGCCTTCAAACTGCTGGACTCAGCTGATCCTCCTGCCTCAGCCTCCCAAGAGCTGGGGCTGTGGGAGTGCACCACTGCTCTCCTACTCTTTTTTAAAAAGCAATGCATATTATTCCTAAGATGTTTGATATGCAGAGAGATAGTGAGGTTAAACTTAACAGCCTAAGTTGTATGGTAATAACAATAAGCTTGTCTTCTGGATGGTTAACAACTTAAGTCAGCAGACCAAAATTAGAGAAAAAGCAGGGCTGCAAGGAAAGCCAGCATTTTGGCCCTAGCCTTCTAAGGTCAATTAAGACTCAGGACATATGAGATCTTGCATTGTAACGTCATGTAACTCGGCAGTGTCCCAAATTTTCTGATCAAGGAGATTATGGGGCCAAAGAGGAAAGTGATCGATGATGTAGAGTGGGCCTAAGGACAGTCACCTGGAGAGAAAACATTCTCTCAGGCTTTCACAGAGAGCACATTGGCCAAGCAATGGTCGTGACTCATCCACAGGGCTGACACTAACAAACAATCTGAGGTACAAGATCTCAGGATAAATCCTAAGGGGATTTCACTGACCTTATCAGACCCAAAAGCTACAACTCTTGTTGCATAAATCCTGCTTTATGTTGTTCTTAACCATCCAGAAGAAAAGTATAAAAACGAAATATAGGAAGTAAAGCCATGGTGTTATGTTGAGCTGTAGGGGACTCAGGTCAACAATTTCTGACATTGCCAGTCAAGCGGAAGACCCAATACTATTATGGGCTACTGAACCCTTTTAGATTATTTTGCTGAGTTAACACACCTATAATATTCAAATAACAGAACTAAACAAAAAAAAGGGTGTACAGATGAATGTCCATTTTGTATCTGTGTATTCCAAGTGGTTAGGATAGATATATAGTTACATTCTCTTAATGAATAGAGTGATTTGTTCTAATGGTGTTTGTAAATAGGATATCATGTCCGCATCTTGTACAGCAATTAACCACTAGGAAGAATGTATGCAATGTGTTAATTATTGAAACTGTCCTACCAATTTGATTTGAAACTGTCTCATTGCTATTTGTTTAACAATAAAATTATGGGGAAAAAATAAATTAAAAAAAACCTAAAACAAACAAACCAAAAAAAAAAAAAAGCAATGCAGAGCTGCAGGCACAGCTCAGCCTTGGGGTGCTTGCCTGGTGTGTGCAAGGTAGTAGAAGAGAGGGAGAGGGGTAATCTGTGCTTGGGAAATGAATTGATAAGCCACGTATGTCTTTTAGATATGCTTATTTTTTCTACGACTGAAATATTGACATAAAAAGTATAATGCAGAGGATACTTCTGGGGTATCTCTTTGGACAAAACTAAATGTGAAGGCCCGGCCTCAGGAGGATTTATTTATGTGTTCGTATTTAGCAAATGAGCTGGGTGACATACTCTTTTCCTTCTTGCAGCATTGAAACCCAAGTTCTCCCCCAATAACGAAACTGAGATTCTTCCCCTTTTTAAAGGGAAGCTCCCCGCTCCCCACCCTCTTCCTTTTTTCCACTGCTTAGAGGAAATTCACAGAGCCAAACACACACACACACACACACACACACACACACACACACACACACAAAACAGAAATCCGTGGTCATTGTGTTCCTGTCCTGGCTCGGCCAGCTCACCCCGCCTCTGTACTCCCTGACGTCACATTATTTGTGTCTCTGAACAGCTCATTGACACCATTGCCTCGGAGATCGGAGAACTGAACCAGGAGATGGTGCACACCGATGTCAGCTTGGAGAACGGCCTGGGACCTCCTGAAACCCACAGGTGACCAAAGCCTTGTCTAGGCAAGAGAGGGACTCAGAGGCGGCCTAGAGCTGCTAGGGCTGACCCTTGGCCACTCCTCCTGGAGTCTGTGGTGGTGGCGGCTCCAGATGAACTCTCTGTAGGAGGTGGGAGTGGCCCGAGAGCTCCTGTCTGTTGGCTGCTTCCTTGAATCACTTTGAAGGCACTTGAACCTTGTACCTTCATCGCCATTCTTCCTGACACTACAACCTGGAAACCTAAGCCTGTCTGTGCTGAGAGCACCCACCGGCAGTGATGGCGACATAATGCGGCGGAACCATCCCTGTGCAAGCTAGAGCTCAGGGGAGCCGAGTCAGGCTCCAGGAGGTTGGCAGGGAGCAGCTAAAGAGGATGGACTCATTTTGCATTCTCAGGTCAGAATAAACCTCGGCATAGCCTGAGCCTGAAAACCACCCATATAGGGGAACTGGCTGTGTTTGCAAATGATTAACCAGGGGCGGGGATGTGCCATGCTGTTAAGCGCAGTACCCAGCCCTGGCCCTGAGACATAGCAGTGCTGCTCTGTACCTGAAAACGCGTATGGAGGTCAGGGGGAGCAGAAGGCTGGAGGTGACTTCTGCCAGCTCTTGTGTGCTGATTCTTGGTGACAGAAAGCTCTAGACACTTGACGCTGTTGGGGCCATCAGCAACCCCACCTTCTTACCCCAGAAGGTGGGGCCAAGACTGCCTAGGGCAGTAGAAGCTGAGATTTATGGTGTGGTTTGGCTGACAGGTCATGCGACAGGCAGGCAGGGTGATTCTGGCTGTCTAGGCAAGTTTTAAACTAAACCAGCTTGACTTGTTCCCTGACTGAGGTGGAGAGGGAGGAGAGAGCAAGTCCCAGGGAGGGACTTGGCTGCCGCTTTGATGCCAGTGGTGCTTTGATGTCCTGGTCCCTAGAGGAACTGCCTTCCTCTTGGCTGTGAAGTTCCCTGCGACTTCATTCCTTGCCTTTGCTGCCAAGTGACAGGTAGACCAGTTGTTCCCCATACCCTTTGCAGCACCTGGTATTCTAAGGTTCTTCTTCTCAGCCTCAGTGTGAAGAGCTCCAAGGAGATAAAGCTTTTCTGCCCATGAGCTTGACAAATACAACTGATTTTTGGCTTGAAACTTGCCATCTCACATTCAGAGTAGTTCAAACACCATGGATCTTCAACCAGGGGTTCCTCTTTACCCTTTGCATTGTTGAGCTAAAATTAAACTGGAAGCCTGGGTTAATGACACAGTGTGAAGGCAGCTTTCTTTCTTAGATTTTTTTTTTACTTTTTTTTATTGTGCCTTTTTTTCCCATTTATTATCCTTTTAAAAAAAAAAGACCTTTACTTGAGAGACATTATGGCAATAAATGGTATGTCATGACAAGAAACAAATAAATCTATGTCACCTTTGTCCTAGTCTCCCGGAACTGGGGATTGAACTCAGACCCTTGGGCTTGCCAAGGAAGCGATTATTCTACTGAGCTATCTTCCTGGCTCGAAAGCAGCTTTCATAGCACTGATTTCTAACACACAGAAAGCAATCTTAGATGAAACCAAGCTCTGCAAGTGACAGACAACCGGAGTGTCAGGAATACCTCCCCCTGTATGAGTCTTTGATACAGTTTGCATTGTAGAAAGATATACAACATGTGAGGAGCCATCCAGACCTTGTTCTTGGGCTTTGGCAGGTACTATGTGGGACAGCTCGGTGATCACATAATCTTTAACATCTCATGGATGGATAGATGGGTGATTGATGGATAGACAGACAGACAGAGAGATAGGGAGACGATGGATGGTTAGACAGATGGATGATGGGTAAATGGATGGATGGATGGATGGATGGATGGGGGTGCATGGGGGATGGATGGAGGAATGGATGGATGGATGGATGGATGGACTCTTTGTCATTGAGCCATATACCTAGATCTCTTTTCATCTTTTCCTTTCTTCTTAGAGTGAGCATAAGTACGCTACAAAGCCTTTGTGTATTTTTTCAGAGTAATGTTACTTGTTCTTGATGCTGTTTTGGTTAAAGCTGGATTTATTAATTTCTAGAGGCATTTTATTTGGCTTTTCAAAAAAGTAATAAGAAAGAAAAGGCAAGATAAAATGTTTCAATTTGTTTTGTTGTGACTGAGTCTCACTATGTAGTTCAGACTGGCCTTGAATTCACTATGTAGCCCAGGCTGGACACAAACTCAGAGGAGTGTTCCTGCTTCAGCCTCCCTTGTGCTGGAATCACAAGTAGGTGCCGTGTTTTTCTGACTGGGCTTGAACTCATTCTGTAGGCCAGGCTGGACTCAAACTCCCAGTGATGTCCTTCCTCGCTTCACTAGTTGTGGGATCGCAGGCATGTGTTCCTACAGCCTGCTTAAGTTGTCTTCTTTGCCATAGTATATGATGTTAGCAGGACGTTGGGCTCTGCCTCTGCTGGCAGCAGCATCTGACAGGTCTCAGCCTCATTTCTTAAAATCTTTACCTAGCCTGTGTCTGGCTGGTCCCTGTCACCTGACCACTCAGCCCTGAGCTTCCCAGAGCTGTTGCCTGCAGCCTTTTCTCCTCACACCTGTGCTCTTCTGTTTCCTGCTAGTGTTGCACAACACACTGAGAAATCTGCATCACACCTGTATCGGTAAGTGGGGAAATAATGAAAGCTGCCCCGAAGGGCTGTTGGGAAGTCTAAAGAAGTGACTTAACAGAGCACCTAGCAGGTGCCAGAGACAGTGTGTGCTGTTTGAAACGGAGGTCCCTTAAGTAATCTCCTAGGTCACACTATCCCAGCTGTGGTTTCCATGCTACCCACATATTGGTGATTCTCAGCTTACCCCTGGACTCAACATGTATTTGAATCCAGAGGTTCTTGGCCAGAGATCCACTCAGCAAGTGGAGACCAAGGCGGGGCTTGGATCCCTTCATAGGCCCTGTCTGTCCTGGCTTCCTTGGCCACTAACTGCGCCTCTAGGAGCAGGCCTTGCACTCATGCCCTTCTCTCCTCAGCCCTCTCTGCTCATCTCCAAAGCTTAGCAGCTCACTGTTTATTTGCTTGCATGCTTGTTTTTAAGACAAGGTCCCCCTAGTTCAAAACTGGCCTTGAACTTACTGTGTATCACAGGCTAGCCTTGTACTTGCGGTAATTCTCCTGCCTCAGCCTCCTAAATACTAGAACAGGCATCACCACATCAAGCTGTCCTAGAGATTATAAGTGATACAGAGATTATTGAAAGCACACTGGAGGATGCGTGTAGGTTCTGTGAAAATACTGTGCCATTTTGTACAAGGGATACAAGTGCCTGCAGGTTTTGGCATCAGTGGGAGCAAGCACCCTGGACAGCCTCCTCTGGGATAGAGAAGACATTGCCTACTTAATTATGTGTCTTATGGCTTTTTCACTGGAAAGAAAGCTCCAGGGAGAGGGTCTCAGTGTGTCGGTCACTGCCCTGACTTCAGTGCCTTGAACGGCTGTGGCACGGCTTCTGTGTGAGAGCTGCATATGGAGTGGGGAATCTAAGGAGCCCAGGCCACTGGGGCCCAAAAGCCCCTGAGGCTTCTTGAGGGATCAAGATGGTCCCCAGTGCCAACACATAAGAAAGGAACAAGCTATGCCCGATAAGATGGCTCGGACCTATTATCCTAATATTCGGGAGGCTGAGGCAAGAGGATCGCCAAAAGCTCTGAGCCAGCCCAGGCTACACAGTGAGTTCAAGGTCAACTTGAATTCTACAGTGAAACCCTATCTCAAACCCACCCTTGAAGAAGAGAAAGAAAAATTGAAAATGCCTAATGGTCCTTGCTGTTGCTCCCTGGGGAACAACAGAAACTCTGTCCCCTTTCTCCTGCAGCCAACTGGCATCACTGTCAGCTTGGCGACATGGCTGTGCTGCTCCTGGGGCAGGAGAGTGGCAGCAGGTGAAAGCCACCTCCGCCCTTTGCAAACCATTCCTAAGCAAAAGCCAGCAAGCCAGGAGAGCAAGTCCGAGTGTCTTACTCTTGAGTCTGCGCTCTCATCAGTGTTTCCTGTTTCTTGTCCTCCAAGCCCACCCTCCATGGAGACCAGAGCAGTGGGAGACAGTGGTCTCTACATCCACGCAGAGGAGGGGTCTCGGGGCTGGAGGCTGAGGCCGGCCAGTGCTACACTTCACACCCCAGATGACAAAGTTGCCAAAGATTCCTTTAGCCCAGGCAAAGGAGAAGACCTATAAAACAACACTGGGAGCATTTCCCAGCCTCTGGCTGGGCTTACAGTTTCCCCGGGGGTCCTGGCTGGACTGGGTCAGTCAGCCCCTCACACCTTTGTCAGTTCCTATGCCACTTGGCCTGTGTGGCTCTCCTGCCACCCGGCTGGTCTCCTTTCTAAAAGCCTTCTAGAAAGGGGACCAGCCTCATCCACGTGAGGGATGCAGACATGTGGGATTCGATGCACCCTCCTACACCTCACCCTACGCTGCTACAATGTAGCTGCCAGCCGCCAGCAGCAGCCCCTTTCAGGAAGCCTGCTCTTCCTGGTAGCCGTGGGACAACAGTGACACGGACCTGTCCCTTGGACAACCCTCTGTGTTGTCTCTGGGCTAGGGTCAGGACACAAGGTCAGAAGAGAAGGTGTTGGCTCCCCAACCTTCCCTGAGATAGGGTAGAGGGACAATGGCGGCTATGCAGGCTGCCATGCAGCCTTCAGAAGGAAAATCATGCTAGGCAGGTGCTGCTTTAAAACATCCTTCTACTTGGCATTAAGTGTGACTCAGCAGCAGCGTACAGAGTGGTGTGGAGCTCCATGAATTCACAGACAGACCAGAGAACCAGAGCCAGAGCAGGGCAGAGCATTCCTGACACCCCCAAGGCCCCCACCTGGTCCCTGTCACATCAAGGAAAGCCACGGAACCCCTGTGGCCTTCATTAGCTCTGCCCAGCTTGCGCTTTATTCTCTTGCTTTTTGACTGTTTCTTGTGTTCTGTTGGGGGTGATTCTTGGTGTCAGGTTTGAACCCAAGAGCTCACACACCCCAGG